TGGATGTTTTATGTTTTTGAAATTGGAAAACTGGACACATCATGCTTTATTTAGACTTTTATTTGCTTTTAGACTTTAGACCAGCTTTATTTATCCACAAGGGAAATTACTCGGACACAGCAGCTCACACATCATAACAAAGAGTAAAAAATAATAAAAATGGTAATAATAGATTCTAAATAAGTAATAAAAAAAAAAAGAAAAAAGCAAGAGACTGTTGTCAAATAAGACCTACTTATATAAATGCATATGTACAAGTAAAAATAAAATAGAAAATAAGTAATAAAAGTATTTCAACTATATACAAGAGGTCATATGGAAAACCATGCAAAAATGATATGATGATTGACAGGGCTTAGGGTTATCTGTTACTTAAAGGTCAGTTGTTGTACAGTTGTAGGGAGTATTATATGACACTGGTGAGTTGTACAGTCTGGGAGTCCCTGCTTAGGCTGCTGCCCCCGCACCCGGCCCTGGATAAGCGGACGAAAATGGATGGATGGATGGAGTTGTACAGTTGTAGGGAGTATTATTTTGCAATGGAGGGTTTTGTACGGTTGTAGGGAGTATTATATTACATAATGATGAGTTATTGTACAATTGTAGGGAGTATTATATGACAATTGTTAGTTGTTGTACAGTTGTAGGGAGTATTATCTGTTACATAAAGGTGAGTTGTTGTACAGCTGTAGGGAGCATTATATTACATAATGGTGATTTGTTGTACAGTTGTAGGGAGCATTATATGACAATGGTGAGTTGTTGTACAGTTGTAGGGAGTATTATGTTACATAAAGGTGAGTTGTTGTATAGTTGTAGGGAGTATTATATGACAATGGCTAGTTGTTGTACAGTTGTAGGGAGTATTATATTACATAATGGCGAGTTGTTGTATAGTTGTAGGGAGTATTATATGACAATGGTGAATTGTTGTACAGTTGTAGGGAGTATTATATGACAATGGTGAATTGTTGTGCAGTTGTAGGGAGTATTATATTACATAATGGCGAGTTGTTGTATAGTTGTAGGGAGTATTATATGACAATGGTGAGTTGTTGTACAGTTGTAGGGAGTATTATATGATAATGGTGAGTTGTTGTATAGTTGTAGGGAGTATTATATGACAATAATGTTGTAAGTTGTAGTTGTAGGGAGTATTATACATAATGGCGAGTTGTTGTATGTTGTAGGGAGTATTATATGACAATGGTGAATTGCTGTACAGTTGTAGGGAGTATTATATGACAATGGTGAATTGTTGTGCAGTTGTAGGGAGTATTATATTACATAATGGCGAGTTGTTGTATAGTTGTAGGGAGTATTATATGACAATGGTGAGTTGTTGTACAGTTGTAGGGAGTATTATATGATAATGGTGAGTTGTTGTACAGTTGTAGGGAGTATTATATGATAATGGTGAGTTGTTGTACAGTTGTAGGGAGTATTATATGAGAATGGTGAGTTGTTGTACAGTTGTAGGGAGTATTATCTGTTACATAAAGGTGATTTGTTGTACTTTTGTATGGAGTATGGTATAAATGTAGTCCTGTATTTCTCATTGTTTGGTTGGAACTGTAGGAGCACTTAATTTTTCTGGCTGATGGTCTGAAACCTCAAACCCAAATGTACTTTTTTTATACAGCACATTTTACAAACAAAGCAGTTTCCAAAGCGCTGCACAGAGATCATAAAACAAAAACAACAAAAGGTATAATTACTAAAAATGTACACTAACAATAAAACCAGTATAAAAGCAAATAAAAACAAAAGCATACAATCATAAAGTAGCAATAAATAAGTGAAATAAATAAAAATGAATAAAAGACACGGAGGACCACACAACTCACGCAGTGTTAAAAGCCAGAAAATAAAAGTAAAATAATAATAATAAAAATAAAATAAAAAACACTCCACTGTGGAGGCTGAGATATCCTTGTTTGCCCTGGAATGTTCCACAATATGATGTTAAACCAATGTAAAATGCATTTATTTTTATTCACTTACAACTGTTATTAGTACAAAAAAAAAAAAAAAAAAGAAAAAAAGTAAAAAAAAAAAAAAATAATAATAATAATAATTTAAATTTTAAAAAGTGAAAAAAAGTAAAAAATAAATTAAATAAATACATAATAATAATAATAATAATAATAATAATAATAATACATTTCTTCAAATTCAGGGAGCTTGCCTGTCCACAGATCTGAACTGTATCTTAGCGTGTTAGCATTACCTGCTAGTCTCCATGCAATATATATATTTAATACAATACTGTGGAACATTCTAGGTAAAACAATAACATTAACTCCATGGAGACAACCAGAAAAGTAACACATTAGAAACATGCATTTTGATTTTTTTTTTTTTTTTTTTTTTTTTTTCTTCTTGTTTCATGTTATAGACTTGAGCTTAATCTCCGCACATGATACATCCACGTGTTCTTCGTGAGTGTAATGTGTCCACAGAAATGCTCAGAACAGGCTCGGAGATGGTTTACGGACTTACGGACTGCGCAGGACACTTGTGGGTTTCTTATCTATTCTGTAACAATCTGGAGAAAATTGCCAGTGATTGTGAGCGCGCAGAGAAAGACGGCCTCGTGAAAACACATGATTGCGTGATTGTTCCTGTTCTGTTCACTCAAACATAATACACGTCAAGCTGTAATGCATGTTGGTATTTCTCTGTGGTTCGCCCTCTGTCTAGAAGTTTGACAGTTCAGATCTTGCTGCCTGACACACGCCTTACTTTGCCGAGTGAATGTTGTGGGATTGTTTGACGGTGGTTTGAGAAGCCATTGGAAGGAGAATTGCTTTGAGTCATTCTGCACCCAAGATAATAGATCTATTTTCAAATTTGCAGTCATAAAGCAATAGCAAATATGACTTTTTGTGTTGCATGGTAAAAAAGCATGCCGCATTTTAGAAGCATGATATATAGAGAAATATTGCGATTCCCTCTACTGTTCAAATCTTATCGTATTTTATAAAAATGGCTCCTCGTTATTGCAAAGAAGAAAATGTGCATGATAAATGTTGAGTCTCACATATATTGAACCATAAGTCAATATAGTAATTATAGCGATGCCCTAGTTACAATGGAATGGGAATCTAGACTACCAGTCAAAAGTTTGGGCACACTTTTAATATTTCTTCTTTATTTCCTTCGCTATTTGCGTCGTAGATTCTCACTGAAGGCATCAAAACTATGCATGGACTGTATGGAATGCTGTCAATAAAAAATAAACCCAAAATAACTTAAAACTTGTCTTAAATTTAAAAAAATAGCCACACTTTGCTTTAACCAGGCTGGCGCCATCTAGTGCCTCCACTCAATTTCATTTCTCTCCAGCGACCAGGTCAGGAATTGGAATACACTAGACGGTTCACAAAAAACCCCAGAAGTGCAAGTTCAGTCACCAGCCAATCAGCTAAGAGCCATACATTCTGTGTTGGCAACGATTCCAGTGATCAAAGGGAATATTTGGTGAATTTTATCAAGGGGAAAGATGTTATTGCCCTTCTTCCTACAGGATTTGGGAAAAACTTAATATATCAGTTTGTCACGTTAGCGGCGCATTACATACATCACGACCAAATAGTAGCGATTGGTTAAATAAAAAAGTACCTGCCTACCATTGAGCGAACAAATTCTAGCGCTGTGAGGTCAGATGGTCTCTACGAAGTGAAACCGGCTGATGAATCAGGCTACTTTTGCTTTGTACCCTGATGTGGACTTTTGACATTCCTTGACTGTGACCAGGCACTGCTGTGAAGTGAGAACACTAAATATGAATGCAGGTCGTCCACCAGAAGACTTCATCATGAAGTTCGCCGATAGCTTTTTCAGGCTGACAGAACTGGTACCAGTTCCCTCACCTTATCTCGAACCGGCTGATGCATTCACTCCTAAAATCAGAGCGTTTGGGAACTGAAAAGTTGGTTCCCAATGGAAACCAAGTAAAACTTGTTTTTTCCAAGCGAATCGTAACGATGCAGTAGATGTCCGCAGGTTCATCTGGGTCACACGCGGTAAAATAAACAAACAAAGAAAACAGTGTGTGGGAGTGTGTATTGTGGAGAAATCAAGTGACAGAAAGATTGTTCAGTGGTCAGCAGAGGAGACCAAATATTTGCTATTCGCTCGGTAAGGTTACATCTTTGGATTTAGTGTCGCTGTCGCCTTCTCCACAGCAGATGTTGTAGCAAAGTTCGGTGCAGATAACTAATGATTTGTGTGAGTACAAATACTCGCTGGTGTCAATGATGTGATCTGTGATTGTTATTTTCATTGCTGTAACATTCGCTTTCATATGGCTTTGTTTTTAATTTGGTAGCAAATCCACACCCTCTGTCGATGACGCATCATGGGTTCACTTAAATGATACGAATGCAGGTGATCCACCGGTGAGCACTTTGGTTCCCAGTGTAAATGGTGTGGGAACCAGCACTGGCACTGATCTGACCGGCCTGAAAACAGCTTGAGAGAAGAACAAGAGTTTGCAGCGCTGTCAGAAAAGCAAAGCATGGATACTTTGAGGATTTGAAAATAAAAACAATGATGTCCTTTTATGCAATACAGAAATTAGACAAGGGAAAAAAAAGTACTGAATTTACTTTTTTGAGCTTTTCACTATGTTATATTCTCAGACTGTTGCCCCCCGCGACCCGACCCCGGATAAGCGGAAGAAAATGGACGGATGGATGGACTATGTTATATTGTTATCCCCTTATCAAAAACACATCTGAAGTTGTATTTTGTTTTGTTCACGCTTGGCTCATTAATCTGTGCATCTAAAAAAGTCTAGTTAAAAGTTTGACTGTTGTTGTGTATGTGTGAAATTAAGTTTTTTTTTTCCTTTTCTTTCCCTATTTCGTCAATCATCACAACCATTAATCATTCAGTTTTAGCTAATTTGAATTGCAACCATGTCATTTGTAAAACCACTATTATGTATTCTTTCAAGACCTTTAATAATGTTCTCTTCATTTTGTATGTTCCAGCTCGCTACGTGGGACCCGGTGCACGGTCTGAACGGTACACTCACCGATCGGAAACTGGAGAATAACATGAGAGGAGTGGTGCTTCGAGTCGTGACTGTTCTGGTGAGTAAACGAGCGGAAAACGCCAGTCTGTTTGAGGAGAGAGTTAGTTTGAAAATGGCTACACTTTTCACCAAGCAGAAATAAGTGCTTGTGACTACTTTTGTGTGTGTTGGGGGATCTTGCTTTGTCTAGTCAGTACACTACAGGGCAGAGAGAGCGCTGAGGGGTAAAGTGCTACCGGGAGACAGTCAAATGCTCAGGGAAAGTGAGAGGGGTGAAGCAAAAATATAGTTTTTATCCCTGTCTTTTTGTAGATTTTAAAGATTGAGCTTTATACCTTTATATCTTCCCTACTCTTACTTTATACCTTTATATAAAGAGCTTTATATATGTTGTTCCCTCATTAAAAACATGTCCAAAGAGGTTTTATATGAGTTAATATGTCATGTCCATAGCATTTTCAAAACAATTAAAGATAAAATGGTGATTTAAATATTAGGGTTGTAACAATAACTGAAATATCGTGATATCATATCGTCAAAAGTGTCACAGTAATAACGTGGACCATCACAATGTATCGAATTACAAGTCTCTTTGCATAAATGTATTGTTTTGGTGCAGTAATAACAAAAAAAAAGTGAGCGAACTACATAGACTATGATCCTTTGCTCCATTACAGTGCAGTGAAAAGTAATACAAATAATAATCAGAATCATAATTTTTAAGCATGTTTAAATCTTAATTCTTTGGTTTATGACAGAACAAAAGTGTGGTCAAAAGTCGCATTTTCACGATTTTGTTAGTGTCTACAAAATATCACAATAAATATAATACCGTGGGATGTATATCGTGAAAATACCGTATCGAGAGGTTTCAATATCGTTACATCCCTTCTAAATATGTTATGTGTTAGCTAAGAGTGAATAGTCTGTACAAGTGTAATACCACCTCCTTAATTTTTGAAATTCAGCTGAAAAACATGTTTTCTTAACTGCAAGAACAAAGCAAAATCAAATCAATTCAAATTCAAATCAGAATTAAAATCAAGATCAAATTCAAAATCATATCAGAAATTCAAATCAGACTCAAAATCAATTCAAATTCAAACTGGAATCAAAATCAAGATCAATTAAAAATAATAATAATAATAATAAATAAATAAAATCAGAATTCAAATCAGAATGAAAATCTTTTCAAATTCAAACTAATTCAAATCGGAAACAGAATCAAGATCAATTTCCAAAAATAAAATAAAATCATGCACATTTGAACTCAAACAGGAACAGCCAGCAGCAAGCACACGATCACCTCTCAAACATTTTCACATAAAGTTGTAAAACGTTTCAGAGAATCGGTGCATTGTTGACTTGTTAGTGCTCTTGAACACTGCATATTTTTACACAATCCAACCTTTTTACACAATCCAACCTACTTTACAGGTATATCATAATTCTCTCTTGTTCTCCATTGAAATGAATGGGCCCTTAACCAGAAGTGCCAACCACAACAGAAGCGCAGGTTAGAGGCGGTGAGAGGTAAAAATAAAAAGAAGGTGTTTCAGGTCAGTCACGGTCAGCGTTTTTGAGCAGAAAAGAGGAAATAAGCATCAGAAATATATGTTCTATGAGGCGACAACTTTAAAGGACACATATTATGCCTTCTTGAAGTTTTAATTCCTTTTCTTAAAACAAATTTCAACTAAATCTAATCATTTGGACAATATACTTTATAATTTATACCTCTGTTTCCATTAAGGCATTTAGATGATGGAGCTCCCTCTGCTGCTGGCAACTGGAACTGACATTCAAAAAGTAAACAAATCTTATCCCTCATGAATATTATAATAATAGAGTCATGCATTTTTTTGTGAACACAATTTGACCACAGAGTTCAGTGATGGTTTATGGGCTTTGAAACTGCACAGGAGAAGTTTGGAATTTTACCTATGACATCACAATCCAGGCAAAATGCAAAGGGAAGATGAGTTTGTGTTAATGGATTCATAAACCAAGCATGAACAAAACAAAATACAACTCCAGCTATGTTTTTGATAAGGGAACAGCAATATAACATGGCGAAAAGCTCAAAAAAGCCTTTAAAGTTTATGATTATGTGTATTTTAATATGAGTAACATCACTATACAGTCGGTTACTGAGACCTGATCCTGATGATGTGCTGTGATTGCATTGTGTTGTGAGCTCTGTTGATGGCTGGACTTGTTGCTGTCGATATAACACTGGCAGAGAAAGGCCAGGGTCCCGCGGAGGGCCAATGACACCCCACAGCTGACATTTAAGACAATTCATTAAAGCGAGCTGCATTTCCACAACAACGGTGCAAAACATCCACATGATCCATACTTTCTCCAGGCACCAGACCTGATCCCATTGTGTGTCTCTGGCATTATTAGGTATTAGTTTCACAGGATGTTTTTTTTTTTTTTTTTTTACAGTATTGTGCTGGGGATTTCATTGTGATCATATTTCAAAAAGATAAAGAATAGAGACTTCATGCTGGTAACGTCGAAACAGGGTCAGTGGTTTTGGTTGTTTGGGTTTTTTTAGGCTGCTGGATTTTAAACTTTTTAGGACGCTTCAAATATTGCAATGTTCTGATCCACTAAAGGTGCATTGTGTAACGTTTCTGGTGGTGTCCATCAAATGATTTTCCCCGTGGAGATGTTACTGCTTTGTCTGGAATGCTCCACAGTATGGCATTAAACAGCTCTACTTCACATTTATTCGATTACAGGTGGGTTTATAGCTCAAAATGTTTAGAAAAACATCCATTCTGACTGTGAGTGGGCTCGCCTCTCCACAAATCTGACATCTAACTTGGTCTCCATGGAGATAGAAAGGTTTAATGCCATACTGTGAAACAGTCCAGACAAAGCAATAAGCATTTGATGGAGCCTCAACCAGAGAAGTTACACAATGTACCTTTAAGATAACAGTGCACTAGGGGTGTAATGATATCCAAGTCTCACGATACAATATCGTCACCAAATGAACGTCACAGTACGATATCTATTGCGACATCATGGGAAAGCTGACGATATCGTGGGGAGGCTTGCGATTAGGGATGTAACAATATCCAAATTAGGGCTGGTTATCATTAAGGAGTTGCCGATACGATACATACCTCGATACACAGGCCATGATACGATACATATCTCGATACAGTGCACTTTCGATTCGATATGATATATTTCAAATCGATTTGATACGGTTCAATAAAAAATAAAGGCTAAATCGTGACTCTGATACTAAAAGTCATTGTTAAACCACTTCTTGTGCAACGTTCATATGAAACACAAACATTTTAATCCTCAAAACAGTAAAAATGTCAAATGTGTCGCATAAATGAGTTTCCTTTCACTCCACAAGCAACAAAAATGTAGCTCTGTAACAAAATAATTTAGTAAAACACACCTAAAAATACTCTTGGTGACATATCGATACAGTAGCCCATGATATCGATACTGTATCTTCACATTAAACGATACGATATATCGATATTCCGATATTTTTGCACACCCCTAATCCAAATCTCTCGGTACAATATTTTCACACTATACACCTCACGGTACGATATTTATGGTGATATTTTGTGGAGGCGAACAAAACGGTTAATATGCTACTTTTTCCTCTGAAAATGCCTTGACAAGACTTAATCCAAAGAACTAAGACTTAAAAGTGCTTAGAACTGTTATTTCTTCATGTCGTCTATACTGTTACACCCCTATAATGCACTAAGTAATTTTTCTGTACGCTTGTCTTCATGGAGATGTTATTGGTAACCCTGGGATGTTACACAGTATGGCATTAAAGTAACTGTATGTAGCCTGCACGCAGATTTCCTCCTGAAAACGCTCGACTAAATGTGGAATAAAAAGTGAACAGGCGATGCCATAAAGCTGAGATTTTATAGTTCATTACTGATTTTTCTATTTCATTTTGACTTGTCCATTACATTTATATAATTATGTCTCTTGCTGTATTTTTTTGCTACTTGTTTTTCTATTTTTTACACTTTGTTATTATATTCTGTTGTGATGAGTGAGCTACTGTGTCCAAATAATTTCCCGTATGGATCAATAAGTCTCAGTAAAAATGGTCAAATCAAATAAAGCTCTTACTGGAACTAATTCTAATGCTGATTTGGGTTGCCAGCTTCAATGCCAAAATCAGTGCCAAAAAAAAGTTGGTTTAAACCTCAAAGAACTCTCTCTGATCTGAACAGTCACCACCTAAAGCCCAGAACCTGTAGTGAAGTATGACTCAGTGCCTCCGCTGACACAGTATATACTGTCCATAAACTGAGAGTGAGAAAAACGTGTATGTGTCCACTATCGGCAGTTCAAGGCTCTGGCAACCCAGGGTCAGATGTGATTACAGCGCCTTTTTACACTGTGAGAGGCTACATACAGTTCTGATCTATGTTAAAATGTTGTTTACAAAAAAAAAGCATACCTGCATTTGTGTTTTGTTTCTTTCACACATGTTTAACTAGTGCTGTCATGCGATTAAAAAAATTGAGAGATTAATTAATTATGATCTGTAATTAATTAATCTAATTAATCTCATTTTAATCTCACCTAAAAATTGCTGAGAAAAGCCTTCAATTTGAGGTATTTTCATTTAAATTCATTATTACATTATTGTGGCAGATCAAAAGACTGATATAGAACAAAAAAAGTGACTTTATAAAGTCATTTATTGTTTAACAAATCTCTCCAAATTGGCTGTTGAGCCCAAGTCTCCATGAATAAGAAACTGTTTGCTGTAAAGTAAAGACGAGGAAATCTGAACATAATAACTTTTGTCTACTTAAAGACAATAAAAAGTCCAGTCTTTCCTTAACCATATTAAAAATATTATTGATAGAGAAATGCTTTATATATGAGATCACTGGTTTTAGTCCTTGTTTTAGTCCTGGTTTAGACCTGGTTTAGTCCTACCTGGTTTAGTCCTGGTTTAGTCCTGGTTTAGTCCTGGTTTAGTCCTGGTTTAGTCCTGGATTAGTCCTGGTTTTAGTCTTGGTGTTAGTTTTGGTTTAG